TGTGTGTGAGCGAAACAGAAAAAGAAATAAATATGCTCGAATGAGGGGGGAAAAGAGTGGGGTGGGGGGTATTCCAGATAAAGGTGATGGTGTAGGCAAGCCTTGTCTGGTTCGACTGTCCTAGCGCTCTTCCGATATTTGTCAGTTTAACCATACGTAGGTCTACACATTTTAATTGTATGTTTGTGTACGAATAGATGTTAAGCCATTTTTCTAAAAGAAAGGACAACAGGTACACTCTACGGTATCTTTCTTGTGGTTAAAAAAAAAGTACAATAATTTATATTTATTGTTCGGCTAGATCTACGCGAGCAATTGTACACACGTACATGACGAATAGGAGAAACACAAAAAGTCGGATTGCTTTGAGGGAACAATTTGAAGGATATCTCGGGATGAATCGAAATTCGTTTGATGAATATCAAAGTTTAAAATAATGAATACAGCACATAATTATGATATTGTAAAGGAAACATTTTAATTAAAATTTGTATATTAACCTTGGCTCGAGTTGACGTGAAAACAGACAGTTCAAGTGAGTCTAAAAACATTGACTGCTGTTAGCCACCTCCGATATTTCCTTTTCCGGTTTCTAGTGCAGGTAATGGCTGGCTACTCATTTACCATGTAAATAAATCCATCATCAATGCCTCATCTAGGCTACGTAATTTGAAATGACAGTTTTTTTCATGTTATTAATGGAATGGCCAATCAGTTAAAAGTTGAAGAGTACTTTTAGTGTCTGTATTTATCTTGATTAAAGCCTTCAATGGAAGCCTGTCTGTTAGCACCTATTTTCGTTTCCCCGATCCCGAATGTTGTGTGTGCGAAAATCTGTCAAAATGTATTGTCTATCGCTTATTTTGGACGGTTTTCTGATGATACTGTGATCTAAATTCTTTCCTATCATGTAGGTTGGGTGTGTCTACCCTACTCTCAACTTGCATTTCTCTTGGTGTCAATTCAGTCATGTTATTTATTGTGATGTGGCTCAATTGGCCGCTATTCCGTTCAAACTAAAACTTCAATGATTTCTTCTCTAAAAATTGTCTCCTTGCACCTCCTTTCCTGTTCTCTAGCAATGTTCTGTTGTCTGCTTTCATTTCCACTTTCTGCCCCCACCCCCTCACCTCCTTTACCCCCTCCTCTGGGCTCCTGACTCTAAATTCTAAACACTTGTACTGCTACTCCTTGGCCTTGGTTCCTCCTAACCGCTGTCTTTCTACCACACCCCTGATCTTCTGGTAGGAAAGATCTACTCCTAGCCTTCTCGGACAAGGGCAAAAAATCTCGGAGGGCCCGTGTGCAAATTGTGCACGTTAAAGATCCCTTGGTGGTCTAAAATCGATAAGAGTAGGCTTCGGCCGCCACCCTGGCCCTGGCAAAATTCAAAATTTCCTACCAACTGAACATATTAGGCAGGGTATGTCCAGCGCGCTCATATGACCTTATGCAGTTGCGAGCGCCGTAAAAACACCAAAACAAACAAAGGTACCCAAACAAACAAAAACTTCAAGGACTTCAAGGACCAAGTGAGTGAAGTTATCGAAAATCGTCTGCCGTCCCCACGGCTGTGGCATGTCAACTACTCAGTTAATGTGATAGACTCTTTCTTAGTCTGGGTATGTAGGCCTAGCCTTAGCTCTAATTTGATGTGGAACCAGCTTGTCTTTTCTCTAGTTGTAGGCTATTAACTTGAAACTAAAATGTGAGTGTTTCAAACAAGGCACAATAATAATACTCTTTTTTTTACTTATGCACCTGTCTCATGTTCACATTTTTTATACTTCTTTTCTAGTAGTATTTTGTATGCTAAACACGAATATAGTCTTCATTTTTGCCGCTAATCAATAGTTATTGAGTTATTGATTTTTGAAAATAGTAAATTTAACTGTAAATGGGGGGTTTCAGGGGGGCATGCAATATTCAAAGCATGATGAATATTTGGCCTAGAATCTAGTTTCTTGCTTGAAGTTTTTTATATTAATGAAATGTTCTTATTTTTCTATTTCAGAGACCAAGATGACTCGATACGCGAAAGAGCCTGAGAACCCAGCCAAATGTGAGTATTTAGTTAACGCCAGCGCTGCATCCACTGTTCATAAGTAAACAGTTTGTGAATTTTATAGTTCAAATAGAAAAAAAACTTTATTTAGCCTACATGAAGCTGCAGCGAGCACCTAGCACACCTTTGTGATTGACCCAAATATAGATGACGTATTTCCGCCATCTTATTTTTGTTGTCTTCCAGAGCTTCCCTTGCCAGTTGACCAGATCTCAGCATGGCGGGCCCCGCTTAGTGCGCGATGGGCTACGTCACTAGGTTTCATTGCCAACTGCTTGGGCTGTGTGCGTGTGCACACGCGTTAGTAGTGTATATGTGTGTGTGTGTACAACTTTGAGAAGGTAAATTTATGGAACGAAAATTGCTGAAATTGTTTATAAAAGATAACATAAATTAATGCCCCCAAAAGACAAACACGGTGAGATCTGGTCAACAGTTACAGATGGGGGGAAACCTAGAAGACGGTAAAAATAGATGGCGGAAATACGTTATCTATATTTTGGCCAATCACAGAGGTGTGCTAGGTGCTTGCTGCAGCTTAATGTATTTTATTTCGAAGTGTATACAGACCCGGTAACCGGGAACAGAGTCACGAAGTATACAGACCCGGTAGGGGAACTCTTTTGTGATTTCGGAAAGTTTCAGCGCCCAGACCCGGTAGTGTGTGTGTGTGTGTGTGTGTGTGTGTGTGTGAGAGAGTTAGAGAGAGAGAGAGAGCAGGGGGAAGTGCTAGCAAAATGTATATGACATGCCCGCCAGTTGGCAGGAGGGAACGAAAGACAGAGACAAACAGAAAAAAAGAATGCGAGCGATACACACAGAGAGGGATAGAGAGAGAGAGAGAAAGAGAGAGAGAGAGAGAGAGGGGGGGGGGGGTGACTGCTCGATTGAAAATATGACATTGTTCTTTTCTTCAAATTGTGATTCCTCCAACTCCAAAACAGGGGAAAAACGATCATTCATCGAAAAGACATCCGCAATCTTCATTTAGTTTTAGATCTAGATCTAGGCTAGCCTCGAAATAGGTCAATGATTTTTATATCTGTCTGTCTAGATCTAGATCTAGACCTAGGCCATAGATCTAGAAGAACCTAGTTCTACCCTGAGCACAGAATTCTACACTTAGTGTAGAATTCTGTGACCCTGAGCCAAGAGGGTGCTGAAACTTTCCGAAATCACAAAAGAGTTCCCCTACCGGGTCTGTATACTTTGTGACTTTATTCCCGGTTACCGGGTCTGTATACACTCCCATTTTGTTTTCACAAATTTCTTGTAAATTTTTGTATGCTGTTTCTCAAAAGAATTTTGAATACATGAAGCTACAGCAAGCACCTAGCACACCTTTGTGAATAGCCCAAATATAGATGATGTATATCCGCCATCTATTTTTGTCGTCTTCCGGGGTATCCCCCAAGACTCTTGGGTTCCCCTCACCAATAACTGTGTTGACTAGATCTCGCCGTGTTTGCTTTTTGTTGTATTGATTTGTGTTATCTTTTATAAACAGTCTCAACAATTCTCGTTCCATAAATTGAATACCAGTCATTTCGTCACATGGTCATTTCATCACACCGGTGCAGTCAAGACGTCACTGTCATCTTGTCACTCCGCAAATCCACAAGGTTGAATGGAGACGGTCATTTCGTAGCACACATGCAAACATCAAACGCGCATTGTCATGGCAATCGCAAAACACTATTTTTGAGGGAGGGTTGGGACTGAGTGGAAGGGGGGAAGGGACAGGTGTGCGAGTTGTCATGCCTACCTGATCAGCTACACCGTTCATAAATATGTTTTGACAATATTGAAATCTATCGAGTCAAATCAACTCAGTTTTTAGGTATTGATGAAAGGTGTGATTGGCTAGACCATATTATTAGTTCTGTTAAAAATTAATTAGCTAATAGAAATGTACGGTACTGCGATTTTGCCAAAAGCCAGACCCTTACTTTCAAACATAAAGCCTTAATTAACTCTTTACCAGACATTGTTTTTGCTTTTTTGAAACAATTGTTCAACTGTGGAACAGTTTGGACGAAGATTCAATTTACATAAATAATTTATAAGACTTCAAAATAAGCTTGAGGCTGATCCTACAAAACTCTACTAGAATAACTACAATTTTCAAGAGGTATATAAGGGAAATCATTTTGTCACACATAATTTGGATGTGATGAAATGACTGGTTACCCATAAATTTACCTTCTCCTCAAAGTTGTACACACACACACACACTCAGTGGGTGCATGCGCACACACATACACACTCAAGTGGGTGCATGTGCGCGCGCGCACGCACACACACACACAGCCCAAGCAGTCGGTGATGAAGCGGCTAAGCGGGCCACCACGGTGAGAAATGGTCAACTGGCGATGGAAGCCCCTGGAAGATGACCAAAATAGATGGTGGAAATATGTCATCTATATTGGGGCCAATGAGAGGTGTGCTTGGTGCTCGCTGTAGCTTCATGTATTTTGAATAAAGTATGTAACATTTTCAACAATAGTTGTATTCATGTTTGTCCAGTGTGACAGTTTTTGGGTCCTGTCCCATGTTTGGGGAGGATAGAAATGCGGTGAAAAATATTTGACCCAAGGAAAAAAAAATGTTCTCACCACTAACTTGTGGTTTTATGTAGTAGGCTAGTTGTTTGTTTTTAGGTTTGTTTGTTTTGCAAGAAAGGAAATGTAACCTCTTAATGTGGTCGAAATAGAAGGTCCATATCTTGAATACTCCAACCATCTGTTGGATAGTATCGAAAATACTCTGGTTGTCTCGGCTGAATTATTTGCAACTTCCATGGGGTGTTAAAAACTTTAATTTTTCTCTTCTTCTTGTGTCAGTGTAGATTTTTTTTTCCTTACCAACTTTTTTTGTTTGTATACTTGGAAATGTTTGAATTTAAAATTTAGATTTAATATGCAGTATTTTATTTCATTGGCATGTTATTTGAAAATTCTGTGGATTTTATAAATTTCTAATGAAAACAGATGAGAACTTGAGCATGGAAATAATAAGTTGTGAGATTCCCACAGAAAATTGAATTGTCATTTGTGTGTGTAAGGATGAGTTCTGTATTTTGTAACTTGACAGTAATTGATACTTTTTTTTCAATTTCAGCGGCCAAGGCCCGTGGCTCTTACTTGCGTGTCCATTTCAAGGTAGGTTTCTCAAGTGGCTACTTGATTGCTTCCATCTGCATAATGAATTGTTTATCTTCCCTTTGATTCTGTTTCATCCTGGGTATAGTCATTGAGACACCTTGGGGTCAAAGAAAATATTACATCAAATTGTTTTTGAGTATCCTTACATAAATCAGTCATTTTTTGTTTCAGTGTGTAAAAAGAACGCTTTAAGGTTTTTCTTCACATGTCATAAGACGGTGAATGTGTTCTAGAAAATGTTAGTGATAGCAAAAAGTCAACTTGTTAATGTTTGTCATAATAGTTTCACTGCATCTGGATAAAAAATTTGGAGCAGTGATTTAGTCAGGCTGTTCCAATTGTAGACTGATACCGGAAATAGATTTAACTCGTGAAATCAAGGGTTGTGCGAGTGTCTGTCTTGAAAGTTGCAAAAACCATGTCAAGATAAAATGCGCTCAAAAGTATTTGTTCTTTTTGCCTAACCTTTTTTTCAGATGCATGTCCATTTATTTTCTCTTATGTTATCCCAAAGGGGGGACATTAACCTGTTCTTATTCACAGTAGAATTGTAATTGTAAATGGGATGATTCATTGATGTCATGCTCATAACTGTGCCTGAACTGCCACAAGGAACTGCTGCTTTTTCTTTCCTAATCCTTACTATCATAATTTTTTCTCTACTACTTCTTTTGTATGTTTATCACACTCTTGGGACCCGCTATATCCGGGGTTCCTTGATAGTCGAAGCAGACTTTGTGCTGTTGAAGCTTGACAGGTGAGCAGAGTAAGTCTGATTCCCTGTAAGGAATTCTCTGTTGACACCCACCCCTTGGCGCTCATATGACCGTATGCAGTTACAAGCGCTGTAAAACCTCTACTAAAACTAAAACTCTTATGTTATGAAATATTAACAAAAAAGTGAAGAGCAATTCACAAAAATATCATGACACAACTATGATCTGATTTGAAGTGTTCGAAGAGATAGCTCTATTCTTCTTACATTGTGGACTGAAAGTGATATTTTGTTCATTGCTGGAGTATGTTATCCCCATGAAAATTTTGTGCCAGTTTTGAGCATAAGGAAATATTTGAAAGTAACAATTGCCTAAGTTTGAGAATATTTGAAAAGAAGTTCTGTTTACTGAGACATTCAACCACTTGTGTGCCTGTTATGTTCTAAATTATTTCTGTTGTTATTGCAGAACACGCGTGAGACTGCCCAAGCCATTAAACACATGCACTTGAAGAGGGCCAATCGTTTCTTGAAGAATGTCGTTGGCCATAAGGAGTGCGTTCCATTCAGGAGGTTTAACGGAAGCGTTGGACGATGTGCTCAGGTAGGCTGCCAACAATTCATGTTATCTGTTTGAAAAGAGTTCCCACTCAACCAGGGAAAGGGAGGGAAAAGCCGTGAATTTCTTTTTCAGATTTCCCAGTTGGTAAAATACCATGGAAATAGATCTAAATGAACATAAACAGGAAAAAGTAGGGAAATTGGTGGAATCTTTGTGATTTTTCCCTTCAGTTTTATGAAAACATAATTTGAGCACCCTTTTCTCTGCACTGAACCCTTGAAGTTGCTCACTACCACTTCGTCCCTAGTAAAACATAGTTATACCAAAGCTAGTAGTGCAACCAAAATGTTTTTGACAAGGTGTTAAAAAAATCCTGTTCTACTGTGTTGTTGGCGACAGCCCAGACCAGTAAGAAAATTTAATTAAAAAGGTTCCAATTTGAAACTAAAATGATCAGCAATAGCGTGAGGCATGGTGTATTGTTTTTGAATAATCAGAATTAAAGGCGTGTGGCGTGTTCTGTCGGTTTCTTTGTTTTTGCAAGAGTCAAGCCAACAGCCAATGACCATCTTGTACTTTTGTGGGTTAAAAAAAAAAATTGATGAGGAGTCTGTTGCGTTCCAAGACCTCTTTCACCATGCCTTTGTTACATTCACCCTGCAAGCCCTGCTCTTCACTCCCCTGGGAAAGGTTCTCTATTCATGGCCATATTTTTATCTTTCGTTTCTCTTTTCTTCTTCCTCGCTATGTCATCTTTTGAAAGAAATTCACCTTTAGAATGGTTACAAATTTAAGAGAAAATAAAACCACGAAAAGTGCAGGGACATGTGAGGAGTACTTTTGCTTTTGTATGTTTTTCATTAACTTTATCAGGATCCTTTACCATTTGCTGGAGTGCTTCCTTTATGTATGGATGTAGTGCAACCTGCCCTTTGGGGTAGATATTACTATTTTTCGCCTGGATATTTTGTGAGAACCGGTCGACATGCTAATTTATTACGTTGCTTTGCTTCCATTGTTTCTCTTGGACTGAGCTGAAAACTAAAACTATCTAGTGCAGGTGGATGTCTTTCCATGTCATTTGATGAGCACAGTCATTGAATTTCTTTAAAAATGCCTTGTCTCACCTTTTTTCACTATTGAATATTCTGCAGGCTAAACAGTGGAGACATGTCCAGGGCAGATGGCCAAAGAAAAGTGCTGAATTTCTGATGCAGCTCTTGAAAAATGCTGAGAGCAATGCTGAAGTCAAGGTAAATCATTTTCAAGTTTCATAAAATAGTGTATGACTTCTTCCTGGGTGTGTTTGTTATTAGGTAATCATCACAGGAGTCTTCTTGAAGCTTTTGTCTTATTCATGTTAATAAAGTGACTTACTATTATATTGAATTGGTCCACTGCCAATCTTCTAAATCTTTACGCAAGACCCAAGTCCTTTTGCTTCCCCATAATGTTTTCATATTTTCTCCATATTCCAGTTGAAAAAAGTATTATGTAGACTACTTTCTCAGTTACCAATGTGAATGTGGTCCTGTTACAAGGGATTTTAAAAGTGTCCAAGACTGGCACATGTCTTCAAAGTTTTAACTTTTGAATACAAAGAACATGTTTCAGGCAAATGGATGAGGACTTTTTTTGTTAGAAGAAGAATCACTCTTTCTTTGACTGTATTGTGTTGACTTGGAACTGTTGTGGGTTAGATTTTCCGTTAGGTGTGTGAATTATTTGGGGGGATACTTTTTGTTTGAAAAATTCAGTGATGTTATCAAATTTCATATAAATTTATAAGTCCTGTGATGTGTTGGAACTAGGCACTCGTCAGTTTTTGGGCATATAGAGTTATTGGTATCATCTTAAAGCTCATTCATTTGCCCTGCTTTTGATGAAAAAAAAAATACCCTTCTATCTTAAATAGAAGTTGAGATGTTTAGGGTTGAAGAAAGTGGGTTTTAGAGGTAAAATTAGCGAGGTAGTGACAGCCAAAGTTTGATGCTTTCCAAAGCACGAGAGTCCATGGAAACGCTGTAAAATCCAGTGTTGTGCCCAATAATTAAAAATAAAAAAATCGATAAATATTGCAAAATGGGGGGTCACATACGATTTTCTTATTTTGACAAGTGCCTGATTTCACCATAATGCCTCCTACAGATACACCTTGCCATTTTAGGCGATAAAGGCTTTGGTGCTTTCAGGCATGGATATGATTATGTAATGTCAATACTACATGGCATTTGCCTGTTCTTTTTCCCTAGGGTCTGGACCCAGAACATCTTGTCATTGAACACATTCAGGTCAATGCTGCCCCCAAGATGAGGAGGAGGACATACCGTGCTCACGGTCGTATCAATCGTAAGTAAACCTAGCTCATGCACTTCCTGTGTTTTACTTTTTTTTAGCTGAGGTTCTATTTCTGGTAGCTATGCCAGCCAGCACTGGTGAAAACCAATTCTACATTTTGAGGTTTAAGTTCAAAATCTAATAGACGGGACATCCAAAGAGGCTACGTTGAAGCGACTTGTGTACTTTTATGACCTTCCTTTTCTATTCGAGCTTTTGTCATGTGTGTGTATTTTACGGTATATCCGTGAAAGCATTTGACGTGGTTTGTAAGAAGTTAAAAAAAAAAATTATTTTCTCTGTTCTGTAATTTTTTATATTTCCATTGTTTAACAATCCTTCTGTTTTTACTGCAGATGGCTTCTAAGGTAAAATATGAGGAGTCTTATTTGTGCTGATTATCAGAGTACTTGTATTGCCATTCAGTCTCGAGCATATTTGACTATGAGGCAGACGGCTGTCTTCCCATATCTGGTGATTTTTGTCACTAACAATGATCAGCATCGTAGCATTGTGTTTACTTTGCTCCTCTTGACTTTTTCTTGAGCCTCTACTTCAGCACCATGAGACTTTTAAATTCCGTGTTCTCTATGTAAGATGTAACTTTTTATTTTTGTGGTACAGTTGAACCTGTTTAAACCGAAATCTGCAGTGGTCTTTGGTTTAGCCATGTTTTCAGTTTTGAGAGGCAGCTTTATTAGTAAAGAAAAGAATGGGGATTTTCTTTTGGTTTACTCCTGTTTTTGGATTAACCATGTTCGGTTTTATTAACACATTACACCCTAAGGGTCTGGACGGGAAGTCCATTCCTAGATCCTAAGTAAGGGGAAAGAACCCACCTCCCGTGAATACAAGTGTTTAAAAAACACATTTTAGAAATACTAAACAAATTCCAAAAATCCTGAGAAAATAAAAGTTAAAAAGAAAACTGAATGTAGTTTCAGAAAAATATATCTTTATGTATGCGCAAATTGTTGGAAATGTTCTAACTTTAGTTTAATAGGGGTGTCCGACCCGTCACTCTCACTCTCAGCCTAGATCTAAATTCTAGATTTTCTACATGTGATCAATCGGAATCCCCCCAAACTCTTGCTACAACGTTTTCATCAAAATCTGAGACATCTAATTTGTCACATTCTTGTTTTTGCCCAAATCCATCGTTATTTCCGTTTTCAAACTCAATTGTGTCGCTTTTCAACAAGTCGAGACACTTTCGAAGTTTCGGTAACGCAATCGCACTTCGATCAGCTCTAATACTAAAACTACTGACCCGAAAAATTTCGTTTCGGTATCAAACGAAAGAAGAAACTCTTTGCTATATTTATGCATATCAAAATCTCGGCCCCAGAGTCTCGTCAAGGCGAGACTTCGTTTCTAAAGACGCTGGGTCGGCGCGGGCGGTTCCGGGCGAGTCAGGGTGGAGCGCGTAAGGGAATTCCCGGTCGAGTTAAGGTGTAATGTGTTAAGTTGACTCCACTGTTTATGAATTTTCCCCCTCACTTGTGTTTGAGAAAGGACTGCTTTGTGCGTATTGGAAACACAGTGACGTTGATGGAGCTAGGCTCAGAGAGCAAACAAATAATGCCCACTGAGGATTACACACTTTCACTCATAATTTATAGTATTTCCTTGATACCGGTATACAACAGAGGATGTACACTTTAAAAAAATACTCTGTTCACAGCTTACATGAGCAGCCCATGCCACGTTGAAGTTGTGTTGGCCGAGAAAGACACAGTGGTCGCCAAGCCCACAGCTGGGGAGGAAGAACCAGTAAAGAAGAAGGTGTCCAAAAAGAAGTTGCAGAGGCAGAAGATGATGCAAAGAGACTAAATTTCTGTCAGGACAATAAAATGTATTTAAAAAAAGATTTGGCCCGACTTTTGTTTTTGTTTGTAACTCTTTGACTATTTTGAAATTATCATGGTGCTAAGCTTTTGGCTGGTAATTTTTTCTATTTATGAGTTGCATAGAAACATTCTCATTTGCATAAGAATGGCGTAGTCCAATTCACAAAAAGCCCTTTTGACACTTTTGTGGTTATTTATTGGCACTTTTTGAAGAAGGTTATTTGAAGACCTGTAGGGATGCCTTGAGATTAATTCAAATTTTGCCTTACTGGGGTCAACATGAAAATATGTGTTGATGGAAAAGCATACCATAATTAGATGAGTGGCAATTGTTAATTGGCTCCCTCTGAATACTTTTTATGTCTTCATGATGCTACAGCCCGTTGTGCTCTCTCTGGAAAGGCAGATGGGCTCTTGAGGGTTAGACTACTATAGAAGAAGTCTTCAACTTTTCTGGATGCAGAGATGCTGAATTTTTGATATATGTGCAACATTATATTTATCTGAAGCTTGATGACGGTAACCACCGTACTGTTGTCATACCATCCTGCACTTACCACAGCTGAGGGTTGGGACAACGGTCACAACCTGGGCTGACAGGGATACAATGTCTCGGAAGAATGACTAAGGATACTCGATACAAATTCTTCCCACTCAAGAATTAAACTCAGGCTTCCTGCTTGCAATGGGAGAGTGCCGTTAGGAGTATACACTACAGTGGCCTGTGGGTACAGTTATAACATAAGTCAAAAGATAATGTAGTGGAATGGAAAGTGACTTCCTGCTTGTTAAAGGAATAGGGAACCAGCTATGTTGTCATCTTTGCTTACACTGGAAATATACAAGTAGTCTCATTAGGCCGCCACTAGGACAAAATTTAGATTTAGAATTTCTCTACAAAATAATTATGACATATTTCCAGGACACCATCCCTACTTCAGAGCGCATTGATGTCTAAATATGATAGTTTTGCCTGGACTAAACATCATTCGTAGGTGGTTGGCAGGTGCTCTGGTATTATATCACTCCTTTTTTGTGTTTGTTACTCTCTTGTAACGCCTCTAATCTTCGGCTCTTATTATATGACCTGATTGTGTTGCAAGTGCCGTAAAACACTTATTAAAACTAAAAAAGACATCATTTTTTATGATCCAGGAAATCAAGATCTGAAGGGAGGGAAGTACTGTGTGTACTTCAACTCAATGTCTCCTTTCCAGGCTAAGCTGTATAAATGCTTTTGATGTGTAATGCTCAACTTTTAAGATCTGTCATGTCGCAAAAGACCAAATTTAAGTCACACTCAGTTGTTACATAACCTACGTGACAACTTGTATGTTGGACGTACCACTCCTTTCAACACTGGTGTAGTAAATACATGTAGGCCTACCCTCAGCAGAGATTGAAATTGAAATTAAAATGGTTACAGTACAGTGGAACTTGGATTCAACGAGGTCACCAGGCCTGACCTAAAATCTTGTTGAATCCGAGTGTTCGTTATAATAGCAAACACGAGGTTTTGTGTAGATCATTACAGGCACTGAGCAAGTAATGTAAAAAGAGAAGTCACAAGTAGCTCTAGTGCCTGAAATACCTGCATATTATATATAAGCTGTGACTGACGCGTTTGTATCTGCGACGTTCAACGCCCGGACCGCTAGTGCCCCCCTCACCGGCACGCACACACAGTCACACGTGTGCAGGCCGTCCATCCGTCCCCGACACACACCAGAGTAGACACGTGCTCATGACAACAACGCATGTGTTGGTAAGTTGGTATGAAAAAAGGCCGCTGATTGGTCGCATGCAATGGGCTAAGTGAATAATGGTTCATGATCGATGCAGGTGCAATGGATGGTTTCCGGGAATAGATAAAGTTCGTTCTGGGAGAAATATGAGCGAAGCCACGTCTTCGGGGGCTGTTCACCGGGGAAGCGAGAAGCGGTCTCGTTGAATCCGAGCTCGCCGATTTAAGTAAGTGCTCGTTGAATCCGGGTTATTTTTATTTTTATTGATTTTAAAGAAGAAAAATAAAAACAGGGAATCTATCTCATCTCGTTGAATCCGAGTTCCACTGTATTTGGATTTGGAGCATGTCAAAACCATGGTGGGGTGGTTGGGATGCATTAAATGTCCATGGTTGTATGTTGTATTTATCCATCTTGACACCAAGGAGCTTAGAACTAAACTCCTTGCTTGACACTCGAATACTGGAATGAGGTATGAGCTTGAAATAGGTAGGGGCTCTCGTTACATAGAGGTTACGGTGTTCGCCTCTCATTCAAGATTCAACAGGTCACGGGTTCGAAATCTGACAGCGACGAAGATTTCCTTCTAAAATGTTCTCCTTTCACCTCTTTTTCTGTTCTCAAACCATGTTCTGTCGTCTGCTTCCGTCTCCACTTTCTGGCCCCCCCCCCCTCCTCTGGGCTTCTGACTTTTCCTGCAGCCTTTCTACTACTGCTACCCCTTGGCTCCTTACAGTACAGCTGTCTTTCAGTCACACCCCTAATCTTAAGGGGGTGTAGCTATGGTCAACACCCAAATGCTATAGTTTTTGGTCTAAAGCTTGCTTTTCTGCATCAAAGGGGGTGACATAGTACAAAAAAAGGTTACCAAGCAAAAAATTCAAGATTTTAGTCATAATAATCTCGAGCCATCAAAAA